TCTTGCCAATATGTATTTTTGCATTTGCATAATATGCGAAAACACACAAAAATTATAATGAATAAAGAACTAATTTTGCGAGTTTTTGTTCGCAGAAAAAGCGGCCTGTACTTAACTGTTGACTGTACTAGAAATGGCCAATGTTACAGAATGAATTTCCTGGTTCAGTGTTGGCACAGTTTACTGCTGAAGTGTCGAGCAGTGATTGCCAACTAACATATGCAATATGGAATGGTACCAAGTATGTGAATGAGACAGAATTGTTCATGATTGAGCCAACGACAGGAGAACTAAAGGCGAAGACGTCATTCGACTGCGAAGAGCAAGACCGCCACGCTGTACGTGAATTTTGCATAGCCATTAAATGTAGACGTCTACCGAAATTCCCCAAAACTGCTGAATATTTTGTAGGCGGGCATCTCCGAAGAATTTTCGTCATTCGTAAACCGTACATCGATTCTTTTTTGAGATTGTACGCACCGCACTGTAGCTAATCAGAAAACTTTTGTTCGGCCAAGACTGCTTTTTTTGAGGCGCACTCTCCGGAGCCAGACTTTGTTTATGATCACTAAATGGATTTTCAGCTCGTCATTGCTGCTATAAGCGGGGATTTATTCGTGCAGCTGGATGTGGAAGTTCGTGTCATCGATCAAAATGATAATCCGATTGAAGTTATCGATGACAACGTTCTATTCAGCATACGGGAAGATGAGGCTGCAGGTGAGTTGTTTGACTTTTTACGCTCGCAAACCGTTCTGTCCTATTGTGACTATATCTGGACACAATCCTAAATAGTGATTCTAACGAAATTTCGTCGTAAAGGTAAAGAGGCATGGTATAGAGCGCCTATCACTGTCTAGAGCAGTAAACATGGAAAGAGCAAAAAATAGCAGTGGTTGGTATGTTCTTCTAAATAGCTGGGTTTCACAGATGAAAATCTTCACAGTTTCTTGTTTTACTGTGGTTGTAGAACTGTATCACTGGTTCTTGCATCCAGATCCTTGTTTTGTGCTATCTCAAGCGAATACTTCTGCTTTGTATGAATGGAAAAAAAACAGAAATGTCTATGAAATGTTTAAAAATGCTTAAATATCTATGAAATATCTAGTTTTGATTTAAACATCCTTCACAGATTCCTTTTCTTTTTGGGCGCTGAAATCGAACTAGCTTTTCTCAAACGTTTCAGTGCTTAACGTTTACCGCGATTGAAAGGTCCGCTGGATGGTACTGCATAACAGATTGTTCCTTTCTATTTGGCTCTTTTTCAGTAAGCACTTTTTTCT